GATGCACCCCACATGACACCTTAGGGAGTTGCAGATTGGACTCTGGGCTGGGGTAATTGGAGGGAGGGGGCTGGGTAATCATTTGATATGTACTTGTTCGCACCTTTTTTGGCTCAGATCTTGCTTTCCTTTTCGCTGCTTTCAATTCATATCTAGTAAAAGTACTTTATACAAATGGAGTTGACAGCGCATCCCCCCCCCAGTGCTTCATTTTGGGCCTGGAAAGCCTCCTGCACCAACCTGGAAGCCAACAGTGGGCAGAGGATGGGGCACATGCATGGGAGCGGATGCATGCACAGGGGGTGCTCGGCTCGCATTGCAGTTTGTGGTTTCTCACACACACATGCATTTGCATGCATGCTTGTGTTTTGGGCACTTGGCACCAAAAAGGTTAGCCATCACTGCCATATGGTGTCATGTGTGGTGCATCTTCAGGTGGTTTTGCTCATCTGGTATTCTGGGATGGTTAACTTTGACTGCGTATAAACCAGTCCATCTAGCTGCGCAGTCGTTCACGAGAGCAATTCTCCCTTTTCGTTCACACAGGGACACCTCCAGCACACACACCCAAATGCCAATTTTACCCTCTCCCCGTTACTATGGCAGCCGATAGCAAGCAAGCATCAAAGAGGCTGACAATCATATAACATACAGCAGGTGCCTATAAGCCTATTGGGTGCTTATAACATATACATCACCTAATGTATTTGCCTGCTGAACAATCATTTTTATTGTCTTATATATTAATCATACATTCACAGAGCAACTTTACATCCATACACTCAGTCATACTCACATTTATATAACTGGTATCCACTTTCTAATTTTTCCTTTTCCTATCTTTTAATTGTTTCTTTTTTCTTTTTTGGTAATTTTTTCTGGTTATTGTTTTATGGTTCTATTAATGTCTTATTTTTTAAACAGCTGGACAGTTTTCTGGACTCTCGTCTCCTGAAATGTATCGCCAAACTCTCTTGGCTGGTTGTCGTTGTGTGGAACTTGATTGCTGGAAGGGACGTCTTCCAGATGAGGAACCAATCATCACCCACGGGTACACTATGACAACTGAAATACTATTCAAGGTACACATATGCTGGTGATTTTTTTTTCTATTTGTTTTCTTTGAGCCCATATAGTTCCATCTGACAAACTACTACCCCATCCCAAATTCAAGATAGAAAATCCTTATACCAGGATAACTTACAATCCACAGCCACTCTGTCTTACCAGAATTGAATGTAACTATTCATCCCTATCCAGATCTTCACATCCTCCAGGCTGATCTTGATCTTGAAAGCCTTACTTAACTCAGGATCAAGATGTACAACTGGTATTACCAGCATCCTGATGTTACTACATTCCCACATTGGAGGATAACCTCTTCCAGTGGTTTCATATAGCTATTAAAGAGGAAAGATAGGAGTTTCAAACCCTGAGGCATCCCACAGGTAAGGGGCTGAAGGATCAGCCTCTCCTTATTCCCACTTATACCGATTGGAACCAACTTCAGAGGAAGGAGGAAAACAACCTTAACACTCTGTCTCTGTAGTATTTTCCAGCCTGAAACCCAACTACAATGGGTACAAGCCTACTTCAGGGCTTTCTGAAGCTCAAGCCAAGCCACTTCCTCAACAACCCCAGCCCCACACATACACACAAAAGGAAGGGAGATAGGACAAAAGTTCTCCAGAAGTGTTGGGTCCAGATATGGCATTTTTAGGAGGCAGTCAACCACCATCTCTTTCATGGCAGGAAGAACCATTTCTTCATATAAAAAGGCATTTGCCACCACCTGAACCAAACCACAAGTAACCTCTCAAGAAATTTTAATTAAGTAGGAAAGTCATGGATCTAATAAATTGGTGGCATGGTTGATAGAACTAAGGATCCTGTCTATTTCTTCAGGAATTGCAGGAAACAGAGAAAGAGTCAGCCAAATCACTCACTGGAATCCAAGTGGCTCCAAGAGATTTTTGAGCAGCAGCAGCTAGGGCTTGGAGCTTCTGAAGAATCCAGTGATTTTAAGTGAAGCATCCAAAGACAGCACTTGCTTCTTAACTTAACGTTATAAAAGCTCCAAGTCTGTTAAGTGTTCCTCATAGGACTTGTTTTCCATATTCCTGCCTATCTTTGTTGTCTTCCTATGGACATATTTCCATTTAGTTATATGGATCTTAAAAATCTGGAATACAGGAATTGCACCCATAATTTGGGAGGAGATCATGCTAAATACAATCCCAAGTTGGTTTGCGGTTAGCATGTCATCAATTGCAACCTAGATAGATGATAGATAGATAGATAGATAGATAGATAGATAGATAGATAGATAGATAGATAGAT